ATATATATAAAATGTAATTATTGAGAATTTAGAATTATTATTTATTAGATTATTTATACATATATAAAATAAAAAAATTAAAAATAACAAAAAGTCATTTTAATTATACAATTTAAATAATATTGATACAATTAAATATTACAAATATTTAAAATGTAACCATAATTTATAATTATTTTTAATAATATTTTCAATTATTTTTTATTTAATTATTATTATACACACAACAATTTAAATTAAAAACTAACTATACCACATATTTATATATTTTTTAATATATATATAAATATTTTAATATATATTTTATATTTAATATATTTTAATAGATATTTTAACCTTGTAACTATTTATGATGGCTATAGAGATAACTATGAAGTCAATACTGAAACAATAATCAGTGATTAGATGTGTTTTGTGAACAGGATACTGAGTGTCGGTTATAGTTTGACAGTAAGTTTGATTGTGTAGTTTAATAGAAAATCTGCTGAGTTTGACGTGTAGTGTAGTTTGATGCCGAACCTTTTCCACAGCGAAGGTTCGAATGACGTATTCAGACAGCAGCTGAGTCTCGATGAGCGTCACCTTCATGTCCCTGTAGATCTCAGTGTCGTCGGGCCAGTACTTACAGCACTTCACCTGTCAAACACACAGTGATTTGATTCAAACCCACACCAGTTTATGAAAACATGAGATAGAAGCATCTCCAAAAAACCTGTTCAGATTCTGTACGAATGCTTTAACTCAAGAGCGTCTGCAGACAGACTTCATGTGTCCCAGATATGAGACGCCTCTGCTGCAGATCATCCCAGACTAATTAACCAGGTTAACCCTCCATAACCAGAGCACACCTCCAGAGACACACAGACCCAAACCACCGTCTCTAATCAGTCAAAGCCATTAATGAAGTCAATCACAACGTTTATCTGTCTGTCGTCAGTTTATCAGCCGCTTCTTTCCATCCGGTCTTCATTACACTGTTTTCTTTCTGTGTGTATGTCAGATTCAAACTACCAATATATTTCTCAATATATCTTTGTTTTCAAATATTTAATTTTTAATTTCAAATATTTCATTTTCAATTAATAATGTATATGAACTATTAATAATATATATTAGCAATTAATTTATATTTTAAAATTTGGGTTCATTTAAATGTATAAATTGCTATTATTTTATATTATATTGGTCACAGTGTTATTTTAGTATTATTTATAGCACAGTTTTATTTACAATAATTAATTAGCATTTATTTATTTATATTTTCAGTTAGGGTTAGGTTAGCGTTAGGTCATAGTGTTATTACAATATTCTACACTAGAACAGTTTTTATTACAATTATTAATTGGTTTTATTTTTAGATTTATTGTAATTTAAGATTTATTTTTAGTAATTTTATGTGGTTTTGTCATTTTTATATCTCAGTTTTTATATTTTTGATTAAATGTTACTATTATTAATATTAAATGTATATAATTTAAAAAATATATATTACTATTTTTGTTTCTATTTATTTTAAATTTGTAATTGTAGTGCTTCAACTTATTTCAGCCAAGGATTTTTTAATATATATATTTATATTTTATTATAGTTCAGCTTTATTTTAATTAACAAAATGTTTTTGATAGTTTTAATTGAATTAATTACCAATAGTAACCCTGACCACTGAATAACCGCACAAGTTTAACCTGTTGAATATAAGAAAACAATAGTTAAAATCTCACGACAGAAAATCTAAAGTCTATTAAAACTCTAAATGTATCAATTATTCAAATGTATCAGATATTCATTATTTTATTTCTGATGGAAATAAATGTATCAATTATTCAAATGTATCAGATATTCATTATTTTATTTCTGATGGAAACACACTTTTGTGGTCAGAAATCAAAGAACTATCAGGCCATCAGTCTGTCATCCGTTTATCAGCTGATTCTTTCCATCCGCTCTTCATTATTAGCATGTTTTCTTTCTATGCGTGTATTAAGACGCTCTAATTAGCGGGATAATTGGGCTCTAATGGCTGAGTGTATTTCTCGTCTCGGTCTCACTCTTCGCCGTCAGGCCGGAAAAACAACGGGGCCGTGATGCTATCGGCTCCTGCCTAATTATCATTAGAGCATCTCCTAAACGAGAGAGCATTAATCACATAATGACTTATTTACATATTCAGTCACACACTTCTTGCAGCTCATCGCCAGCACGCACACACACACACACACACACGTCACAATACAGCGGCGGCCGTCACAGGAAACAGCATTAGAGACGAGAAGAAACAACAAACATACAAATAAAAAATACATGTCAAAACAGCTAAAATAATGACTCCAATGTGTGTGTGAGTGAATGTCACCAAAACACTTATTTTACATAAAAAAGGTCAGCAAAGACTAATTTTTTAGGGGCGATTAAGTGCATTTATCCCTCAAATTCTTATTAATAAAATAAAATCAAATGTAAAAATATAATTCTCGTAAAGCATCAGGACATTTAATTCTAATTATTCCATGATGATATTTCAATACTGTAACAGTATTTTTGTAACAGTACTAATTTTAGGAATTTTTAAAAATATATTTACCCCTCAAATAAAAAAAATAAAAATACAATAAAAAAAAGTATTACTGTAATGCATCTGGATTTATTTTTTTATTGTAATTCTCATTATTCCTAAATATTCTCATCAAGGTAACAGTACATTTTTACTGCATTGCAATAAATAACGGATGATATTTCACATAAAAATGGTAAAGGCTAATTTTAGGACTATTATGTTTTTATTTTATTTATATAATGTTTTTTGCATTGTAAGACTATTTTACAATGCAATTGTACTCATTTGACAACTGAGTACATCTACCCCTCAGACTCTCATTAATAAAATAAAAATAAATAAATAAAAAAGACCATTAATGGAATGCATCTGGACATTTAGCTTTTTTTTTTTTTTTGGTAATTCTCATTATCCCTGCAATAAAAAATTAATGATATTTTACAAAAAAAAAACGTTAGTGAGGACTAATTTGAGAACTATTGTTTTTTTTGTTTGGTTGTTGTTGTTGTTTTGGATTGAGACACTATTTTTGACAATTAAGCACATTTACCCCTCAAATTCTCATTAAAACAATAAAACAAAAATAAAATAAAATAAATAAATAAAATAAAAGTCATTAATGTAACATTTTTTTTGGAATCCCCATTACTGTAACAGTGCGTTTTTACTGTATTGCAATAAAACTTAACTAAATAGTTTAATTCAGCATAAAGACATTACAACAATGGTGCATTCAAACAACAAATAAATAAATAAATGTCACATGCATTCACATACAGACGTTTTGGGTGAAATATGCTTAACTGTAATGGCTGTTCATGCTACTGGTGTTATGTACAGGCTTTAATGTCTTTAAGTAAAATGCTTTATTCTCAGTGATGTTGAGCTGGATGTGTGTTCTGTGATATTGTTGTGTTCATGCGTATCTGGTTTCTCATAAAGGTCTCGCTGGCCTACTTCTCTCCGGCGCTAATTTTAACCGTGATTCTGTCAGGAGGAGCGATCCAGCGCTATATTCCTCATTCTCACTGTAATGGCTTATTAACGACTCAAATGTTATTCCAAACCAGAGCCTTTTGTTCTTGTCAGATATTAAGATGGGCTTTAAAAATCCCATTAGTTTCGCGCGGCAGATTTCCGCTGAGATTCGCTCCCTTCTCCCCACAGGCTCTTACGATACAATTCCAGTTCCTTCACAAACCCACACTCAGAGAGATGGAGATTCAGAGACGATCAGAGCGCTACTGTCTTCAGATTAGAGAGGAGCGAGTAAGATGCCTTTATCCCGGATAATCTGCCTCTAACAGGCCAACTTTAACCAGCACTGCTGACACTCACACATCCACTAATCAGTTTACAGATCACCAGATGAAACACACAGCGCAGAAAACACACACACACACTCAAGCACACGTACACACACACACACACACACACACACACACACACA